GAAAGGCTTTCTGAAGGCCATAAATAATCTCTGCTATTGACGATGGCAAGTCCTGTTCCTGCTGGTTTCTCCTTTCAACAGCCACGTAGTCAAGTGGACGGACAATGGCTATGAAACGACTCCTCTTCTGGTTTCGCCCACAAAATATACAGTGAAGTCTCGTGATAAAATGGTGATGTGCTCCAGAAAGAGACTCTAAGGGTTAAACCAATGCATTTCAAGGACGTTCTATAAATAAGCCCGAGCGAGAGAGAGAGAGAGAGAGAGATGTGTGATAAGGTTTAGCTAGTAGTGAATTCCTTCAATGGGGTCGTTTTGATGTTGACAAACTGAGAATCCCACGAAAACGCCAGAAATTGGATACTGATGTTACTCACAGATACATGGAATAACTGAATCTTTCTGGTTTTTTTTTAAATGGTGTGGTACTCGCGCAGTGTACACGCTGACTGTAGAAATAGCGTGACATCAGAAAGCTATTGGTGATTTGGGGCCTGAATGTACAGTATTTGACATTAGATTTATGGTGCTATAGTATTATGGCAGATTACAAGCAGATACATTATTCAGCTCGGCAAATAAAAAAAAACAAAATTGCATTAATCCTTGAACTGTCACTACTACATTTAAGTTGCTTTTGCCCCTTCTTACCAGTGAATATTTCAGTATACTTTATGTCATAATTAAAGGAACTTGATCTTATTAAAGCACTGAGCCTTACTGGATCATTAAAAGCTCAATATAACCGTAGCTGTATAAACCCCGAGATTGTATTTCTACCTGTAACTGCTTCCTGTGTGTGTGTTTTTATAACATATACAGTGTGGATTTTTATTTCAGCCAACTAATAAAATCACGGTAATTTTCAAGTACTCCGAGCTGCCACACTGCACTGGATTGACGTCGGGGGCTGTATGTTAGTTGCCTTTTCAATTAAAATAAACGTTTGATATTCTCCACATGGCTAGTAAAGGGCACTTAAAGCTTCATTCCTAAACCTGTATTAAACATTACAAAGCTGGAGCGCTCTTGGTGGCTTAGTGGGTAAATGCACGGCCCACTCTCCTGTTGAAAGATAAAGACCACAAAACTACCATTTATCCCTCGTCGGTAGCAAGTTAGCTGAGCTCAGTGGGACTGGGCAGGGAGGAGTGCTACAGAGCCAGAGGTATGCAGGGCTCAGTAGGAGGCCATTCAGCCCACGTTAATCAGCCTCAACTAAGGAAGGGAAAAAAATAGCTAAGGTTCCTCCTCCTAACTATGGTGTAGTGACTCCACCCCCCAACCCCCCCCCCCCACCCCCCCATCTGTCCTGTTGGAAATGAGGGTCTGTAAATATTGGGTATTATTTCACCCACAAAAAAATAATAATAATAATCTTTGCATTTGATACAGCGCCTTATCGGGTCGTTGAGACGTCTCAAAGCGCTTCACAGGATACACTGTAAAGTGGAGTGACTGTGTATTTTTGGGGGGCGAAACACGGCAGCCAATTGCGCACGGCAGCGTCCCCACAAACAGCCGTGGATTGAGTGACCCATTTTTTAAAAAAGAATTATTTATAGTTTTTTTTTACACAGTCAATTCACTTTACAGTGTATCCCGTGAAGCGCTTTGAGACGTCTCGAAGATGTGATGAGACGCTGTGTCAAATGCCGGGATTATTATTATTATTATTATAATAACAGGGCAGCAGGACTTTTCCCTCATTGACTTCCACCTGGTTGAATAGCTTGGCCAACTCCCCCAGTCTACAAGTGTAAACATGTACAACATAACCACCTATGGGAATAGCAGCTAATACTTGCGGTGTTAAACCCAGCTCAAGTCTGGACCTTCAGGAGATGAGGGCGGGCTGGAGAGAAGCAAGTGTTTCGCCCGCAAAATATGCAGTCACTTCACTTTACAGCATGCTTCACAGTGAAGCGCTTGGAGATGTCTCAACGACGCGATAAGGCGCTGCATCAAATGCAGGGATCGGTATAGTAACTAAATTGGGGCAAAGGAAAGGTTCCGTTGATACTTTTTAAGCCATAAAACACACAATTGGGAATCGGGAAGTGACAACTCTACTTTTGAAATCAGATGATTGCCATTATCCAGGATTCCGAGGGCAACCCACATATGTGTTGCGAAGCGCCCAGGCTCCGGAGCACTTTATTTATTTTCCCTCAAAAGTGCTCATTGCGGCCTTTTAGTTTCTGACACGAGAGATCAGAGAGAAAAACCCGGAGATTATGTGACCTTTCCCTCAGTTGGGAGAGAGCAAAGCTTGCTCCCACACTGATGTAAGAACCCGTGCGGAGACGGACACAAAAATAGAAAGGATTATCTTAAATTAAATTCAGAAACATTTTGTTTTGATATCTCAGTGGGTTTAAGTTACAAATTCCCTCCCCCCCCCCTCCCCCGTCCCTTCCCCACCCGCCCACGTACAAGAATAACCTTTATTAATTTAAGCGCAAATAAATATGGGAACCACAGTGTTAATACAACTCAAAATGGGGGAGGGGGCGGGGGGGGAGTTACACAAAGCAGTTGCGGGGGCAGTGATGGCAAAAGGGGTAACAAATTGTATAGGGCAATATTATGGTTGGATTTGATTTTTCATAAGCTGCAGATAAAATATCAAATATTAGATTTTTTTGTACATGGTTTATTATTAATTCAAGAGTTCAATCTAAACAAAACTTTTTTTTATTTGAAGCAAGTACATACTTGACACAAACGGTTAGAGTTCTAAAGTTTGCTGCCGCCTCGAGTTGAAACCTGTGAGCAGATGCGTGTTGAATACAAAAAGCCACATAACTGGGAATATACAGTCCACAAAATATACAGTTACTTCACATTACAGTGTATAGTGTGGGACACAACATGTCAAGCGACTGCCAGGAGAGTGGAAGGTGAACTAGATGGAGCTTGTAGCTCAGTTCGTTAGAGAACTCGCTTTGCAAGTGAGAGACCTGAGTTCAATCCCCGGGGGGTCAGGGCCAAACCTCGGGCAAGTTTCCTTACTCCACACAGAGCCTAATAATAATCCCTCCAAAAACCCAAAACAATAATAAATTGGTCATTTTCAATCTACGACTGTCTGTCGGACGCTGCTCTGTGCAATTGGCTGCCGCGTTTCGCCCACAAATATACAGTCAATTCACTTTACAGTCTATTCTGTGAAGCGCTTTCAGACGTTGAGAAGACGCGAAAAGCACTTTGTCAAATGCAAGGATTATTATCATTATTATCATTACCTTGGTCTTCTTTCGCCAGCAAATTCTTATGTTCTTATGTCATGTTTCTCAGTGAGACTGCCTGATTCCTCTAGTCATCTACAGTCATCTTCTCTAGTCATCTACATCATCTAAGGGAGACCTGCAAGGAACAAGGCAAGAGGCTGCCAACAAGGCAGATTGACTCTCAAACAAATGCTTCAGACAACACTGCCTTTGAATATAAGGAGAATTCTTTGGTAGTTTCGATGCATCTTAAGCACCAAGCTCTACATTACAAAATGAAACAAATATAACGACAATAATAATCCTGCATTTGACGTAACGCCTTCTCACGTCTTCGTGACGTCTCAAAGCACTTCACAGAATACACTGTAAAGTGAATTGACTGTGTATTTCAGCCCTGGTACAGTTATCGCTCCTGTTGTTGTGTAAGATATATAAAAAAGGTTTGGGTTGAAGGAATCTGGAATATTCAAGGAAATAATGGCGGCACAAGTCCCATTTTTACCTTCAGTTATTGGACCATATATAAAACTAGCTATTCAATATTATACATTGAAGGTTATAGTCAAGCTTAGTCTGTGTGTGTTACAGTCTGTGTGATTTGTACCGTGTTATTCTGGTATTTCTGTTTTGTTTGATGTGCTTCTTTTGCTCAACTATCTCAAGGAAGGAATATATCCTTTGGCAGGATTGTTAAACTTAAGGAGAGATTGAGGTTTCAGTCTATCTTATTGTCTGTCTGTCTGTTCAACAAATAAACACGTACTTTGGAAGACCGTAAATCCTACATAAAGTGAAACTCCATCGAGCCAACAAAAATGGTAAGGAGATTACTGAGCAGTTTTTCATAAGGACTGGCAATAAAATATTCTCGTCAGTTTCCCAGTAGCAGAACAACCCAATGTAATCGGCTGCTGCTGAATTCTATATAACACAACAATCTTACTAGATGTAACACAAGGGTCAAAAGTTAGTGGTTTGGGTTCATGCAACATTTTTAATTTAAAAAAGCACTGATATAAATCCAACCACTAAATTTCAGACAGGGGACAAACCATCAGTGTATCTAACTTACCCATCCTAAAAGTTCCTAAAAGATTCTTTTGATGGGTTTATAGATTCTTTTGATGTATTTATCTCTGTATCTGTCCGTTTAGTTAAGAGTGACTTATTACGTGCGTTTACTGTCAGAATCTATTATGGAACTGAGTAACACAGCAGCGAGGGATAACAATTGAGTTTAGCTTTTTAGTAATATATATATATGTATATCTTGCATACAAAAAAATCTTGAATGTTACATATAATATGCAAGATTTGTTTTCAACCCTGTAGCTCAGTAGTTAGAGCTCTCGCCTCGCAAGCGAGAGGACCTGGGTTTGATTCCCAGGCAGGACAGGGCGAAACATTGGGCAAGTTTCCTCACTCCGCACACATGGCTCCGTTTACCAGCAGTGAGTAGGAACCCGGTGGTTGTTGGATTGACGGATCGCTTTTCTGGAGTCATAATCCCTTCAATTTGTTTTTTAAAAAATTGATAATCTGGTCACTCAATCCACGGCTATTTGTGGGGACGCTGCTGTGCGTAATTGGCTGCCGCGTTTCGCCCGCATAAAATACGCAGCCAATTCACTTTACAGTGTATCCTGTGAAACGCTTTTGAGTCGTCTTGAAGGTGTGGTAAGGCGCTGTATCAAATGCTACGATTATTATTAATATTTTTATTAAATGTAAGTCACATCTTTATCTTTCTCTTATTTATTGTAGGTCATTTGTGATCCAGCAGATCCCGAGCAGCAACCTATTCATGGTGGTGGTAGATGCTGAATGTGAATGCGATTCCATGCCTCCAATAACAATGGATCCTATAGAAATAATATATATCCTTTGCTGCACCATCTGGTACCTTAGCTCTCGACAATATTTCAATTGAGATACAGAGCAGGCATGTAGCAATGCTGTAGGGAGTTGTACAACATGTTATCAATGCTTTCCGTGGGTATATTTTTCATGGAGGTTTCAACCATTTATAAGGATCATGTCCCCCAAAAAGACCTAAAAGAAATCAATTGGATCAACCCAATGAGAATTTAACAATGTTAAACATAGTTTATGTAGACACTGTACCGGATTAAGGGGCCCTAAGAATCTTCCAAGACTACAGTACTCAGATCTTTCTGTACTTTGACAAGTTATGCAAGCAGTAATTCCCAATCTTTTACCGCCCGAACAAGTGGGCAAAAATGCCAGTTTCCTGAAGGTTCTCGCATTTTATTTGCGTTAATGTTGAAGTGTGCCAACTGCCCATTGCAACTAATCGAACCAGCATTGGTTAGAAATGTCTTCACTTAGCTTTTTTAGCTTTTACTTGAATGAATGAGACAAAACAAGCAATATTAAATATTTTGGGGAAATATTAATATCTATTTAAACCGGGTAACTAAAAGGATTTCTCCGAGATTGGTTAACTAGTAATTACAAGTGGAGCGAGCCATGGTTATAATGCAGTGTGTCCTGGTTAGATTATCGCTAAACTACTCGTCAGTCTCTGGCATCTTATTCCTTGACGACAGCGAACATAATGAATCCTTGAAATGTGATCGTCTCAGATCGCAGAAAGTTAGAAGGCGTCCAGACAGTTGTCATGCATTCCATTCTGAAGTAAGCCATTTCTATATTTCAGGCCAATTTTATAAAGATGCTCGTGTAATTGTTTACAGCGTTTATAAGCGCTCTGAGACGCTACCCTGGGGGAGGCCGCCACATAAGTGCAAGTTGTTGTTGTAATTATTTAAAATGTGTCATTGAAGCATTTTCTCCCCCTATCAGGACAGGAATCGTATAATTTTAATAGAGATGCTGAATCCATTTAAAAACCTGCTTCTGAATCTTTAGAGGAAAAAAAAACCTTATTTCTCTGGGCCACATTGGGGTCAGTCAGGGGTTTAGATCCAGCTCTGGTCCAAATCCCTGACTGTCCAGGGCCTTGGGACGTCCTCCCAACATGTAGGGCACCGTGTAAATGTCATTGGTGGTGGTGGTGGTTGTTGTTGTTGCCTACATGTCTATGCAGTTGCTTTCGATTTATAATAATAATAATTCTGATTATCTCACCAGGAAAACGCGAGGGAATGTGGAGGTGTCTTGGGAATGGGGCCTTGCCTTGCTCCCCTCCTCCTGCCCCTCATCCTTGTCTTGTCTCACACGTGACAGAAACTCCAGTGTTATAAAAACAAACTTTGGCATGCTAAAATCCACAGAAGGAATCCGAATGGCATAGTACAAAGGAGAGAGATGCTGGTCAGTGAAGGATCATGTCTACATGTCTACATCACACTAAACATTTAAGATTGGAACAGTTGCTGGAGCTATGCTGAAGCTGGTGTCGGAACCGAACAGCACTAAGTAAACAGATTTGCAACGCTGTGTGCAAATAGACACGGGAACTGTCAATATGGTAACCATAAACTGTGAGACTCTTTGCCGACATTCATTGGTAATTATTTTGAGCCTTGCCTTATCCTTAAGAGATTGGAACCTGTTGGTGTATCTTTTAAAACAAATTACCTTTTGAATAACAGCGGGTTTGGGTGTTAGCATGGAGTAAGTACATTGTACATTGTGTGGTCAAACGTAAACTGTGTTCCCATTGAGACATCTTTTTATTTTTTATTTTCCCATATCATTTGTACTTTAAATTTAAGATAAAAGAAGAGGCTGAAGTATGTTGTTTTCTGTGCGCGCAGACTGTTTATAAATGCTAAGATATTGTCAACCAGTTGCTGAAATCCCAACATAAGTTATGGAATGCGAAAACCATCTTTTTTCAACAGACTCTTGAAATTCAAACTAGATATTAAATAAGTAATGCAATGAATTGCTGTGCTCATTTGAAATGTGTTCGTTTTCCTCAAAATGACAATTTGTTATTCCACTGAAGATCTATTTCCCACAGGGTCAGAGACTCAGAAACATGGAAGTTAAACTTGTTCACCCTACAAAATGTCCTTCTCCAGCTTTCCAAGTATGCACATTTTGTATGATTAAATCAATATTATAAAGAGGAATTACTGGGAAAATGTATGGATATGCACAGAATATTTGATCATTTGCATTACTCTGAATAAATGAAAACATGTAAAATCGTTGTTTTTTTTATTTTACTGCAGAAAGGTTCGATCATGACGTTATTGGTTTAATTTGTCCTGTGGGGAATTTTTTATAATGTCCACAAAAGTCATTGAGGTGATTTATTTCTTTTAATTGGTTACGTTAATTCATTACAGAAGAATAATAGTGAACAAAACAATGTTTTATAATGATCAAGGGTGAGTATACACACACACACACTATATATATATATTACATGTTTGATTTCAGTTCTTCACTACACTGCTTGTTAATATTAAATCTACAGCATTTTATAATAATAATAATCTTTGCATTTGACACAGCGCCTCATCACGTCTTCGAGACGTCTCAAAGCGCTTCACGGGTTACACTGTAAAGTGAACTGACGATGTATTTTGCACATCTTCTAAAGGATGGCCAACACTGTTATATTACAAAAACACCACCAAATTCTTCTGTGCTCCACGGAGATTAATATGCATCACCGTCAGCAGCATGTCTAACCCTGTCTAAGAGAAAGATAGCTGCGCATGTTGGCATGTGGGTCTTCTGATTAGAAACTAATGGGGAATCTCTTGATGGTTAAACTAACAGACCACGGTGAACAGTCCACATTTATTACAGCCTGTACACATACATTCCCAAAGAATTATTTTAAAATTCAATCCACATGTTTGCAAAGGCTTCAGGCTGTGATCTCAGATGTACAGAGTTTTGTTCTCTTGACTTGCCATTAATCATATTCCAAATTGTTTAAGGTCATTTGGCTTTGGGGAGGGGAGAGAAGAAATAATCTGAATCCTAGAGCAACGCTCTATAAGCTTCCTTGCTGCCTGCGAGATGAGCAATCGTAATGGTGAGAAACTTTTCCAAAATTATGCCTCTTTGGTTTGGGATCTTCCGATTGCCGGCTGCTTAAGAACGTGATCTAACCCAGGCTCTTACACCCCTCAAGAAATGATATTAATAATAATAATAATTCTTGCATTGGATATAACGACTTATCACGTCTTTGAGACGCCTCAAAGTACTTCACAGAATATACTGTCTAGTGAATTGACCGTGTATGTTTTGTGGAAGAAATTATAATCATTAAAGAAATATCTTGGACCCTTGTTGATTGCATTTTAGAGGCAACATCAGCCTCCAAGACTCATTTTGGATCCATTTCGTAGAATTTCCTTTCTACTAAGTGACGTCTGTTTGTGCATCATTAGCACAAGACAAGTGTCAATGGGTGTGGGAGTGGGGAGATGGAATCTATATTTTTAAACACTATTTTGATTTTCCTGTAAAAAGTGCGAGTGGCAAAACTGAGCTGAAGAAATAGAGAGCACAATAGCACTCAGTCAGACGATTACGAACATAGGAACAGGAGGAGGCCATTCAGCTCCTCGAGCCTGTTCCGCCATTCTATAATTATTATCATGGCTGATCTGTTCCTCAATTCCAATTACCCGCCTTCGCTCCATATCCTTCGATACCCTGACCTAGCAGATATCTATCCACCTCAGTCTTGCAAATGTTTTAATGGATCCAACCATAATCCACAGCATTTTGGGGCGGGGGGGGGGGGGGGGGGGGGCGGAGAGAGAGTGGGAAAGAGAGAGAGAAAGTTCCAGATTTGCTTATTGCTTTTTTCCTCCATCCTCCAAACTCTCTTCCTACATGTGACACGCAAACCCGGATCATCAAACCGAAAGTGTACTGGTGAACAATAGTGGTTGTTCTGTCAAGTTTAAGGGAAGTCATTTAAAGTTATGTGTCCTAGAAATCTCGCCTCTGAATTACAAGCGAGAAATGCATTATTCAGGAACGAACTGAAAAAAAACCTTTAAAACAAGATTTAAAAAAAAACTTTCAAAATAAGATTTAAAAAAAACTTTTAAAATAAGATTTAAATAAAAACTTGTCATAGTAAAAAATAGAAGATACGTTTGACTGAGCCTACAAGAATATAATGTTACAACACCATGTGATAACAATTAACTGGCTCTGTAACTTGAGAGAATGTATTATATTCTAGGCCTTGCTAACAGATAAAACCAGTTAACCTTTCCATGCCCTGAGCATGAATGTTAAGTTGTGTTTTTCATTCAGAGACTTCCTCACTGTTGATACTGTAAGTAATTACATATCTGCTGATAAGCAGCATTTACTGCATAAAAGCTCCAGATTTATTAGAATCGAAAACATTCATTCCATCTACACCGAGAGAAAAGCCTCTGAGAATTGGATGGAACTGCACAACTGAATTACTCTATTCTTTATAATAATAATAATAACAATCCTGGCATTTGATACAGCGCCTTATCATATCTTCGAGATATCTCAAAGCGCTTCCCAGGATATACTATAAAGTGAATTGACTGCTTATTTTGTGGGCGAAAGGCCAATCACGCACAGCAGCGTCCCCACAAACAGCCGTGGATTGAGTGACCACATTATTATTATTATTATTTTTGAAGGGATTATTACCCCCGGAAAAGTGATCCGCCAATCGACTAGCAACCGGGTTCCTACTTATTGCTGGAGGCGGGTGTGTGGACTAAGGAAACGTGCCTAAGGTTTCACCCTGAGCTGCGCGGGAATCGCACCCAGCTCGTCTCACTTGCGAGGCGAGTGCTCTAAACACTGAGCTACTTCATCTTTTAAGCTTTAAAGGAATGGTTTCTATTCTCAAATTCCTCTTGTTATTCCTCTATCAATTCCTGACTTGCCACTAAGGAAATTCTGGTAGAGAAAATTCAGTTCAAAACAATTCATATGAATTATGTCTGTAAAAGACAATGGGTCCCTTGAGTGGATTAGAGAACCAGCAGAGGTTGGGAGGTAGAATGTCTCCCACATACAGGGAAGCAGCATTGTGTGGAAATGGCTTCTCAAATCCCTAGTGACAGATTCAAACAGTCAAAAGGTATTTGCTGCAAACAGGAGGACTGCAAGGGGAAAAAAAGGGAGGGGTGGGGGAGGGATGGGGTTTGGGGGGAAGAAACCTATAGTATTGTAACGCAGCTCACAGCTGTGGCCTTGGAATGGCAGTCCTGCTTTCACAGAGAAGACTATACCAGCCTTTCTCAGATTCACCAATTCCACTGTGTCAAACAACACCAGCATTTATTGTGCAGTCCTGCAGCTCAGTGGTTAAAGCGCTCGCTTCGCCAGCGAGAGAGCCCGGGCAGGGCGAAACCTGAGTCAAGTTTCCTTACTGGCCAGGCCACCAACAGGCAATGTGCACCCACACAACAACAACACATTACATTACGTTTACACAGAGCCTTTCAACAACAACAACAACAACAAGATTCCATTTATAAAGCGCCTTTCACGTCGGGAGGACGTCCCGAGGTGCTGGCCAGTCAGGGTTTGGGAACCGAGCTGGGGGTTGGGATCCAGGAGGATAGAGGCTGGGGGGGGGAGGAGTGGGGGGTGGCGAGGTAGGATGGTGGTTGAGGAGGAGGGTCTTGAGTCGTGCCTTGAAGGAGGTGAGGGAGAGAGCGAGGCGAGGGGACTGTGGGATGGAATTCCAGAGGGTGGGGGCAGAGAGGCTGAAGGCTAGACCGATGATGGTCACACACACTTCTGCCAACAGAGCAGTAGGACGGGCAAATCTGATTCTTCGCTCTCCTAATTCCTAATGATGTGTTCACCATCACTTGTTGCCAACTGCTCCGAGCACAGTAAAACTCAGGAACCACAGAAACAAATTCCTCTCCTACCGTTTCACGGCAGACAAACTCCGCACTGCACCGGCAAGCTATCATAAGCCAATTTTTAGCAGTTACAATTTCTCTCCAGTTGGGCTCACGTATTGATTGATGGTTGTGGTATGTTGACTTTATAAAACTGTTTCTCAGATTCAATCGAGGGATATTCTCCAAATGGCATGTTTCAGCTAATCCTTACTGTATGGTTTATAGTTGGGGAAAAAAATAATTGCCATTCCTGTCACAGAGCAAGATAAATGTCAGTACTGCACAGGAAACCACTCGTCACATGCACTTTTTCCACGATTCAATCAGTTTCTGAAAGAGTTTCTTCAAGCATTTCTCTCTCGTATGGAATTTCTCAGTTTAATAAAACAGAAATTTGTGCACTTCCTATTCTAGAGCATTAGAAACCCAATATTCCCATCTATTTCTTTAAGCATATGGATGGGTTTTAGAAACTCTTAGGTGCACACTTGTACCAGGATTGTTTTTCTGGAACCTTAAGGTTGGTTATTGCTAGAGTCAAAGGAGAGGGGAATGGGAGAAAATTCACCAGGTTCCTACTCACGGTTAGGTAAACAGAAGCGTGTGTGTGAAAGAAAGGAAACTTGCCCAACGTTTCGCCCTGCCCGGGAATCAAACCCAGGTCTCTCACTTGCGAGGCGAGTGCTCTAACCAATAAGCTACAGGACTCCACTGCAAAGGTCCTTTATTCCTCCACATGCATTAATAGCCTCTCTCTGGGAATAAGTAATTTTATCAGCAATCATATAATCTAATAACTAAGGCAGCGTTGGAAGGGGAGCAGGTTAATTCAGGAAGTAGCTCTTTAAGTAAAAAAAACAACAGGAAAGTCACCATGGCTAGAGGCTGTTCCTGACTATACGCTGTCTAACATAAATGTATAAAATATAAAATTGATGTGACTTAAGATATCAACTGGAATGAAGGGAGTAACGTGATTAATGGATTCTTTCTTGTATTAAAAGTTAATAATAATGCGTTTCGCCCACAAAATATACAGCCAATTCACTTTACAGTATATTCTGTGAAGCGCTTTGATACATTTCAACGACGTAATAAGGCGCTATATCAAATGCAAGGTTTATTATTATTATGTAATTCTACAATGCCAAGCAATAAATAATTTGTTTGATTACTGATGCACAGTGTTTTCTCAGACACCTCGAAGGTCACTACTGTTTACACTGCCCCTACCAGACAGGAAATCTACCCAAACATATTTAGCAATCTGACATCTTTCCTCTTAGTTTGATGGGGGTTGAAAGGTTCCTGTTGCGA